TCGAGGGTACGCCGTAGGCGACGCCGTCATGAGCGTTTATGCTTCTGCATTCAGGTCTTGGTTGCTCTGCAGTACTGCTCCGAAACACTAGTTGGCGGCGGAGGGTTTTAATGGTCCATTGTGCTTAGATTCCTCGCGGCTAGGTTACTACCGGTTACCAGCTGGTAACTACAAGCAATAGCGACTGAAAGAGAGCGGATCATGTTGGAGTTGGAGCTTATTGAGGTGGAAAAACAGTTAATGTTAGTGAAATTACTAAAACTGAACAGAAATGAGAGAAGACGTCGGAGGAGATTGTACGTGTGGAAATACGTAGGAGGAAATGCGATGCTACCAAGCCGACCAATCACCAATCTTGCGGTCCGCGTCGTCGTGACGTGTAGTTACATTTTTGAGGAGGTGCGCGTCTGCGTCAGGCTACGGCGAAGGGTACGCGGTATGGGACGCGTCTGTGCGTATGCTACGGCGTACCTACCGTGCGCACCCTATGCAGAAGTATAAATTGGCCTTCAAAAATGTAACTACACGTCGCGACGACGCGGACCGCAAGATCGGTCGGCTTGGTAGCATCGCATTTCCTCCTACGCATTTCCGCACGTACCTTCTCACGCATTTCCACACGTACCATCTCCTCCGACATCTTCTCTCATTTCTGCCTTTCAGTTTTAGTAATTTCACTAAAGTGAACTGTTTTTCCACCTCAATAAGCTCCGACTCCAACATGCTTGTAGTAACCTAGCCGCGAGGAATCTAAACACAGTGGAACATTAAAACCCCCTCCGCCGCCAACTAGTGTTTCGGAGCAGTACTGCAGAGCAACCAAGACCTGAACATAGAAGTATAAATGCTCACGACGGCGTCGCCTACGTGCGTACACTACGGCGTACCCTCGACGCAGGCCTTTAGCAACTATGTAGAAACCCCCAAACAACCTAGCTTTACACAATGCAGCAAAACATCGACAAAAACCCCTGTTCTTATAGTTTGCTGGCATCCCAGGCATCTTTTGGGCGTAGGCTGATATGAATGATATGTTTCACACAAATACACATTTTAGAATTGAACAAAGACCAGGAATTATATAGAAGCAGCATTTTATACATGACTACTTAACACAACCACCAACGTGAAGAAAGGTGTTTATTGTCTGACTGCACTATTTGGCCGTGACTGTATTTTCTAAACAGTTCTTCTTATGTGCTGTATCGGGTCACTCATTGAGATGAATGAGAAGGGCAGTAGTGTGTGTGTGTGTGTGTGTGGGTGTGTGTGTGTGCTACCTACATGTTCGCTGTGGCCTTGACGGCGTGGGGGATGAGCAGGCTCTTCTGGCACTGGATCTTAACAGCTGCTGGAGTCCACATCTCTCATGGGTCCACAGCGGGCCACGGGGAGGTTGCTTTTTGCTCGAAATTTAGATTTAAAGGGTTAGTTCACCCAAAAATTAAAATGATGTCATTAATGACTCTCCCTCATGTCGTCCCAAGCCCACCAGACCTCCGTTCATCTTCGGAAATCAGTTTAAGATATTTTAGATTTAGTCCGAGAGCGAGCTTTCTGTCCCTCCATTGGAAATGTATACGGTGTACTGTCCTTGTCCAGAAAGGAAATAAAGACATCATCAGAGTAGTCATGTGACATCAGTGGGTTAGTTACAATGTTTTGAAGCCTCGAAAATACATTTTCGTCCAAAAATATCAAAACTCTGACTTTATTCAGCATTGTATTGTCTTCCGGTTCTGTTTTTGATCCGCGTTCAGTGCCGCTGCTGACGTGTGCCATTAAAGGCCAATTTATACTTCTGCGTCGAGGGTACGGCGTATATAGGCTATGCACGTAGGCTACGTCGTCGTGAGCATTTATACTTCTGCAGTACTGCTCTGAAACACTAGTTGGCGGCGGAGGGTTTTAATGTTCCACTGTGTTTAGATTCCTCGCGGCTAGATTACTACAAGCAATGGCGACTGAAAGAGAGCGGATCGTGTTGGAGTTGGAGGTTATTGAGGTGGAAAAACAGTTAACTTTAGTGAAATTACTAAAACTAAAAGGCAGAGACGAGAGAAGACGTCGGAGGAGATGGTACGTGCAGAAATGCGCGAGATGTTGCGGTCCACGCCGTCACGACGTCTAGTTAGATTTTTGAGGAGGTGCGCGTTAGGCTACGGCGAAGGGTACGCGGTATGGTATGCATCTGTGCGTATGCTACACCGTACCTACTGCGCGCACCCTACGCAGAAGTATAAATTGGCCTTAACGAGTCATTAATGACAATTTTCATTTTTAGGTGAACTAACCCTTTAAAATACTATTCATTTCCACTATAAACTCCTTTTGAGACCATGCAACTGCAACTATTAACACTATCAATGTAATGTATACAATATAACATTGATAGTGTCAATAATTGCAATTGAATGGTCATATTGAGGGCGGGGCTTGGGTAATGTGAAGTCACGTTGCTTAGAAACGTTTATTCTTCTGAGACACTGTTTATTATTTATGTGGATTAAAAGAAAAGGATTTGGTTCGATTTTTACGATAATAGGGTAGTTGTGTGTACCCACATTACGTTCAAACATAAAGTGAATTTTGCAGCAGCACTACTTCCCTCGCCCTGACGTAAGGTGTTTTCGAGTATGAATATGATATTGCTCTTCAAGCAGCGTCCCGGTACATATGACGGGGATTGTTCCTATATTAAGCCATTCTCAGTGTGCATTGAAATGAACATCCTGTCAAGATATAATGCACTACTAGCCTACTTCGGTAAATATATTTATACCGTGTGTGTCCAAGGCTGCCTATGGAATCGGCCTTGCGACTGTCAAAACCTGAACTCGGCATTGTTGTTTATGGACAAAGTAAATCTTCCGAACAGGCACCAACGGGAAAAGAGCATTTTGTAGTTTTAGAAACCCTTCAAGGGCAAGACATTTCTTCAGAATATCTCGACCCCTTTCCAGAACATCTCAAAGGACAATGGGTGACGTATGTTTGCGTTAAAAATGTGTTGTGTCAGTAGGGAAGTTTGAAACAAATGCACACACTCTTCTTAATAATAAAAATAATAATATTTGTGCGTGTTCCAGCTTGACCACAAATTTCATTCGTTGTCTATTGTTTACTTGGCCTAAGTTCAAAATAATGCAAACTTTTTTAAAATGAGTCTCGTAATGACACAGACATTGAGGACATCCATTCGTGCTATCCTTCTGATAAATATACAGAAATGTTATTAATACGAGATTTAAAATATTTTGGGTTGGTCGAGGAAAAAAAAAACCTGTGCTAGAATAAAAATAAGAAAGAGTGACGTCAGTTCTGCATAAAAAGCTATTGCGCATGCTGCTGTGATATTTTTTTTTTATAATGGCATTTATTACGTGCATTTCGCGTCAGCTGTTAATAAAAGTGTGTTTTATTTTGCTCGACTTCAGTTGTAGCATGCAGAATCAGTGCAGAAGTGTTCGTTTTATAGATGGACGTTATGGCCTGTGCCTTCATCAGCATGTGCCTCCTCATCCTCTCTCACTATCAGACTCTGGTGTTTTAGTAGGACAAGAATGCTCGGCAAGCAGAAAATAGTCTCTCCGGAGTCAAAGCATCGCGTGATGTCTTCACTTTGAGCTTGATATCAGGGACGGAGCAGAGCCGGCATAACACCGCTAACCTTGACTGATACACACTATCACTGACTCTCACTGACTCCAGCGACACTGCGTGCGTTAACACACGCTCGGGGGAAGAGGTGCACACCTTTGTACCTCAAGAGTGCATATAGTCTCTCAGAGGTACAAAGTGTACATTTTAGTAACTAAATTGTACATATTAGAATCTTTTGTCCCTGGAGTGACAGCTTTATTTCTGGGGCTGTACGTGTGAGAGATTCGGCTGAATCTGATCCTTGAGTGTAAACTATTTAAAGTTACTTCTGTAACGACGAATAAACACGATCAAATGATATGTCTACTTCTGTGCATATATTATAGTATAAATTGCAAATGAAACAGTAGATCCTCTCGTATTCTCTTCAGAGCAATTCAGTCAATTACAAACCGTAACCTGTTTAAAATGCACGTGTCAAGTTCATAGAAATGTACAATCTCTGTGTTCATGTTGGTTTCATGCATTTTGGAAACACATTCTTATACAAATATCGGATTTGATGACTTCAAAATGTCAATTGGTGTAACCAGTAAAAAATATTTTTTCTTTCATTTTCATACAATAATTATTTTCAAAGACGTTCTCAAGGTAAAGGCATGTTTGAGTCATATGAAGTTTCTTTTTAATTACATTTCACCTGAACACAACGTGCATTTTCACAACAGGCCTCTCTCTCTCTCTCTCTCTCTCTCTCTATATATATATATATATATATATATATATATATACACAATTTTCATTATAAAAACTTATGCAAACAAACCTGTCTGAATTATAGGCTACTGTATATTTTTGTTAGTAGCTATACACGTTCGGGGAAAAAAAATGAGCTTCATGTAATTAATTAGCATACATTTTTTAACGCATTTTTTAACAACTTCATAAAACCCAAACTTCACCGTTACATTTAGCTATTCTTGTCTATCTCTGAGAAAGCAGGATAGGACTTTGTTTTAAGTAGCCTATTTGTGTATCTTAAATAGGACAACCTTGGTTGTCATGTCACACAAAATATTTTGGTTTGGGCAACATAATTATATCAGAAAATAATTAGCCTAGCCTATATAATTCGATAATAATAAGCTACAACATTTTCAAAACAATTAAAACCAGACAAAATACAACAAGAAAAATGAGAACAAATTAAAAAAATATGTTTTTCTTGCATTATATTAGGATCTTTGTTATTGTACCAATCGATCAATGGTGTAGGAGATAGGCAATATTTTTTTTTTTTTTTTTTTTTTTTTTTTTTTTTGCTGGACTGATAATAAAACGCCCGGAGCGCGCATCATCTGTCACATGAGCGCGCTATCCAATGAAGCCCTCTCCAGCCGTGTGAAGACGCGCACACCCGAGGAGACCTGAGACCTGTTACATTCACTCCTGGAGTTTCTGGACGACTGATCGGACCGTGTTTCGTCGTCTGAAGACGCTCACACACATTAATGGTGAGTCTCTGCAGTATATGGTTGAAAACAGTGATTCTGAAGAGAGTGTGTTCGAAAGCGCGCTTCATTTGGACTCGTTTCTCATCGTCACGCATTTTAAGTTTCAGTTCTCACGATGTGAAGCACAATTACTATGTGATAGAAACATCGAAATTCAGGTGGATTGATATTTATAAAAAAAAATTAAAATTGTTTCAAACAGCGCAGCATTTACCTGTGAAGTGAATCCATCATTAATAGGCTATATTAAAGCATTTTAAAATACCTTATTTAAAATGATAATCTGCTGGTGTATCACACAAATAGCCTAAATTAATTTGATTCAATACATTTTCATTTAAATACATAGCCTAGTTAAACATGGTAATGAAATACTTCAGAAACAGTTTCATTTATGCTGGTTCAGTTGTGGATTAATAAATATCCTGCTTAATAAATCGAACTATTCACTGAAAATGTTATTAAATGGAAACGGGAATAATTTCGTATAAGAATTTGTTTCCATTAAGCCTAACCTTCTTTTTATTATTATTAAATCAAGCTTAGCCTATAGCTTTTTCCATAATTTTGACATTTCCCTATTTAATTTCTGTGTTTTAACGCAAAACAATGACATTGCTGTGTCATATTCACAAAACATTAAGAAAACTAATTTTTAAAAAAAAAGTTTTTTTTAAAAAAAAAGAGAGGAGGAGAAATTAGCCGAACGCTAAATTCCACCACATGTAAATTCAACAATTCGGCCTATTTACAAATGGAAATATTTATGCATATTTATACAATAAATTAAATTAATAAAAAACCTTAGGCTAATCATACAATCGAATATGTATAATTATTATTAGAATATTAGAATTATAAAGCGCGCGCGCTTGATTGTGTGTGTGTGTGTGTGTCAGGAGACATGACAGGAGTCAGTATAATAAAAAGCCATCTTTCCTCTGCGTGTCAGAAGTAAAACAGATGCTTCGTGAGCCCTAGCATTATAATTTCTTTCGTAAAATGCTTTTGATTGCACTGATACTGCTGTGATTGCGCTGTGTCTGATCATGATCGGGGACGCGCAGTGCGGTGAAGTTGTGTTGTGGAACTGATGTTTAGATTGACACTGAATGCACGTGGCCGAGCATAACCAGTCTTTAAAAGAGAAGAACATGTTATATTTCTTAAAACATTACCAATAATAATTTTAAGACTGTTTACCCCCCCAGGTGATCGAGTCGATAGTCGATGTGTGATGATGATGGAGTTCCCCGCAGATGAAGAGCTGGAGGAACAGTGTCCTGTGTGTGGAGATAAAGTGTCCGGGTATCATTACGGGCTTCTGACATGTGAAAGCTGTAAGGTACGATCTCATCATATTTCTCTTTACGCGTTTCTATAGAGCGCGTAAATATAGGCTAATAATAAACCACCGTTTATGTGCACTGAAAAAAATAGGCTAATTATTTTAGTGTACCTATAATGTTAAATATGTTGCTAAAAGCATTACTAAGTAACAACAGTCTTTGTTAATTAGCCTATATTAATACAATTTATTTATTATTAATAATATTATTTGGTTGTATCATGTATGCAAATACATACTGGATTTCAAAAACTAAAATAAAGGTTCGACTTGAACCATTTAATTCGCCAAAGAACCTTTCATTGAGCAGGTCTTAAAATACTCACTGTGAGGAACATTTTAATCATCTTTTTCCACTATAAAGAACCTTTTATGCGATGGAAAGAGTCTTTTAAGGGTGTAGAGGGTATTTACATGTATAGTAATAACTACACTGAAAAAATATTGTTGGTTTAACTTAAAAAAGTAAGTAACCTGGGTTGCCTTAAAATTTTAAGTTGATTGAACTGGAAAAAGTGAGTTAATACAATGAAGTAGATTAATTTAATCATCAAAACTCAAAATAATAAGTTATCTCAACTAAATAAATTATTATAAAGTTGATTTGACAAAAGATATATGTTGTGATAACAAATCTTGAAAATATTTTTTAATTATGCATAATTACATGCAACTAAACCAAACCTACATATAGTTAATTATTATCACTCAGTGCGGTAAAACTTTATTTTACAGTGTCCTTGTTAAATATGTTACACGTACATAGTAATAACAGTAAATGATGCATAATTACATGCAACTAACCCTCAACCAAACCCTTACCCTAAAGTAAGTGCATGTAATCACTTAACATTAATTAAATATATAATCACACTGTAACAATGACACTTTCAAATTAAATCTAGATGAAAGGCCAAAACTAATTTCTAAGATTGCCTATTAATTATAACAGATTACAGTGCAACTGTTTGTGACGGAATATAATCCTGCGATCATTCTCATAACAGGGTTTTTTCAAGAGGACGGTTCAGAATAACAAGAGATACACGTGCACACAAAACCAGGACTGCGGCATCGACAAAACCCAGCGCAAGAGATGTCCGTTCTGCCGCTTCCAGAAGTGCCTGAGCGTCGGCATGAGACTCGAGGGTGAGAACACACACACACACACACACACACACAGAATGAGGCCGAATATAATGCTTATTATGTGATATTATAGCATGTGTATGAAGCATCACTCCTCACTCAGTAAAATAATCACTTTAATTAACAACATGTTCTTTCTATATAATTGGGGTTAGTTGCATGTAACTATGCATAATTGACTGTTATTACAATAGTAACTACATGTAAAATGTGTAACAGACTATAAAGTGTTAACCCTTTATTAAAAGTTAGGATTTATTGTCTTTGGTACACTGTAACTATACATTTAAAGGAGTAGTTCACTGTTAAAAAAACTTTTGCTGATAATTTACTCGCCCCCATGTCATCCAAGATGTCCAGGTCTTTCTTTCTTCAGTCGAAAAGAAATTAAGGTTTTTGATGAAAACATTCCAGGATTTTCTCCATATAATGGACTTCAATGGGGTCCAAACGGTTCAAGGCCAGGATTCAAGGATTCCAGACGATGAATAAGGGTCTTATCAAACGAAACGATCGTTTAAGATAACAGAATTTAAGTTTTATAAGCTCAAATGATCGACTTGCTCTGTTCTATGATTTGATTCATTCAACGAACGAAATGAACAAATTGACTGGGAAGAAGATTCGTTCATTTTGAACAGGAGAGTCACAAACGTGCATCATAGAACAGAGCAAGGCGAGCGTTTGAGCTTATAAAACTTAAACTTTGTTATTTATTAATTAAATGAGCGATCGTTTCGCTTGGTAAGCCCCTTATTCATCGTCTGAATCGTTTAAAGCCCTTTGAAAAGTTTGCACTGAAACTCTCGTTTGGACCCCATTGAAGTCCATTATAAGGAGAAAATCCTGGAATGTTTTCATCAAAAACCTTCATTTCTTTTCGACTGAAGAAAGAAAGACGTGGACATCTTGTATGACATGGGGGTGAGTAAATTATCAGCAAAAGTAATATTGAGTATAACTACATATAAGGTTAGTTATTAGTTGCATGTAATTATGCATGATTTATAGTTATTATATATGTAGCATGACACAAAAGTGTTGCCTAAAATTCAGTATATGTAAAAAACCAGGAAAACATTTAATGTGATATTTTATGATCATGAATTCAAATTATGTTTATTCATTCATTCATAGATGTATAACACATCTAAATTGTCCTCGATCAACTTAAAAGTAATAAATAACGTGTCTTGGCAAAACATGTAGAGTTATATCAGTAAACAAACTGTTAAAGTTAAATTGTCTTCCAAATCCATTCCAGTTGATTATTTGGAGAAAACAGTGTGTTATTTCTGTGCGGTGCGCGCGATTCCCAGGCCGAGTGCAGAGAAGCACCTGTTTCCGCGCGCGCCCTGTGACACATTCCTAACGCGCTGATAAGACTCGCGGATTCATGGAGACTCACAAAAACCAGAGCGGAAAATATCCATATGAAGAGAAATATCGCCCTGACTTACTTACGCAAAACCGGGACCAGCATTCCTTGCTTTATTTGGCTTTTTAATCACCCTTCTCCTAAAATATCCCACTGCAAAATGTAAATAATATATAATGTGTCTTTAATACCAAGAACTTGCGTTTAACTTAATCTTGTGAGTGCCTAGAAAACATGCCTTCAAAAAAAATTGAGCGTCAAATATTATTCAGAATTTGGGTAACACTTTAATTTTAGGGCTGTGCAAAGATTAATTGCGATTAATCGCATCCAAAATAAAAGTTTGTGTTTCCGTAATATATTTGTGTAATTATTCTGTATAAATACACACACATGCATGTAATTTAATATTTAATATTTATATTTATTTATATTATTTATATATATATATATATATATATATATATATATATATATACATGCATACATATGTATTTATATATACAAAATAATTATACACAGCACACACACATTTATTATGTAAAAACAAACTTTTATTTTGGATGCGATTAATTGCAGTTAATCTTTGCACAGCTCTATTTCTTTAAAAACATATTTGTTAATAATGACCTAGTTTCTATTAAACCCTCAAAATATGAGGGTTACACTTTATTTTAAGGTGTCTGTGTTATAGTGCAATTATACATTTAAGTACTGAGTAATAATAAGTAACTACATATATAGGCTTAAGGTTTGGTGTATGTAATTATGCATCGTAATTATAACATGCATGTACCAAGGACACTGTAAAATAAAGTGTTGACAAAAGACTTGAGCATATTGCATTGTCTATATGAGTGATAATAACGCAAAGAATCATGCCTAATAGTGCCGACATAATTGATGTCCATGGTGTCATACAGTACAGAGAAATTATGAACAAGACAGAACCAACGAAATATGAATCACTGATTATGTTGTAGTTTTAGTGTATGCTTTTTACTCTCAGCTTTACAAGTAAAAGTAATGTATAACAAGGATATTGTAAAATAAAGTGGTAACATTTTATTTTAGTGTCATTGTGTTAATAACAGTAAATGATGCATAATTACATGCAACTAACCCTCAACCAAACCCACCCTATAAGTACATGTTGTTGCTTAATGTTACTCAGCACTTAAATATATAATTATACTGTAACAATGACACCTTAAAATAAAGTGTAAACATTAAAGTTATTAAAAGTTTTGCCTCAACATCAACACAATAAGCACATGGATAGTACAGTAGTTAAAGACATCTAATTCATACTTTGCATGTGTATGGCGAGCCGTTTTAACTTTTATTCATTCCCAGGAGATGAATTCTTCATATCAACAATTTAATTGCTGATATCTGAGTTTTTACTAGTAGAAATATCTTTCTTGATATCAACAATTGAATTGCTACTAGTAAGAATCTTCATTTTTAATATCAAGAATTAAATTTTTACTAGTGACAATGTTAATTTCTGATATCATAAATGTGATTGTTACTAGTAAGAAAGCTATTTTAGATATCTGAAATAATATTGATATCAGAAATACATTTTCAGATATCAAAAATAAAAAAATTACTAGTAATTGAATTGTTGATATCAAGAATAGACATTTCAACTAGTGGCAATTAAATTATTGATATCAGGAATTTGAATTTTTACTAGTAAAAACTCAATTCTTGATATCAACAGTTGATTTTGAATGGAAGCCTATGGTGAGATTACACTAGTGAAAATACAATTACAGATATCAGCAATTGTCATTTTTTGATATCAAGAATTCATATCCTGGAAATTAATAAAAGTTTTTTTTTATTATAATGCAAATTACAAACATACAATCATCACAGTTCGTAAACAAAAATTAAACAGCAAAAAAAGATAAACATCAGAATAAAATTAATTGAAAAAAATAAATAAAATAAAATAAAAAATAAAAAAAAATTAAAATACATAGCTTAAATAGACAGACAAACTTCATTATCTATAAAAAGAGAAATAATTTTCCTAGTTTTCACTTGAACATTTTAGAGTACAATTCAGTTGCTGACATAGCTTTCTTATTTATTTATTTTTTTTAACCCGTTTAGGAAATTAATAAAAGTTAAAACGGCTCGCCATAGCACATGACGTCACAAGTACCACCTGGTGTTCAAGAACGCCGTTCTCCATGCAGCCACGAAACCCAGTAAACTAATCTTGCCAGGACGTCGCCATTTTTTATACAAAAGTGTGTGTTTCGAGGTGTAAATGAAACGCCAGATAGTTGTTGTGCGATTGGTTGCACTAATCAGATGAGATAGCCTTCACAGTATAGAGTTACACGTCTGTGCAGGGATCATCACGTCTTTAAGTTAACCTGTAGTTTCGCCAATCAGCGCCACCAGCTTCGGCGAGTCCGCTGTGTGTGGGAGGCTAACTGTACGTTCACATTGCAAAATTCATTAAAAAATGAACGACTTCGGGGCACTTTGATATGGAAGCTTGTTTCCGCCACTGAATAAAAATAAATAAATAATTCCGACTTTTTATCTCACAATTGCGAGTTTACATCTCGCAATTCTGACTTTATAATACATAATTGTGAGTTTTTATCTCGAAATTCTGACGTCTTTTCTCAGAATTGTGAGATATAAACTCGCAATTGTGACTTATCAGGTTAATTCTTAGGGGAAAAAAGACTAAGACTTCTTAGGGGAAATAAGACTAACTTTTTCCCCCCTCAGAATAGTTTATCTCACACAATTCTGACTTTACAACACGCAATTCTGACTTTATATCTCGTATTTCTGACCCGATAACACGCAATTGCGACTTTATATCAATCAATCAATCAATCCTGACTTTATATCACGCAATTCTGACTTTATTTCTCGCAATTCTAACTTTATATCACGCAATTCTGACTTTATATCACGCAATTCTGACTTTATTTCTCGCAATTCTGACTTTATTTCTCGCAATTCTAACTTTATATCACGCAATTCTGACTTTATATCACGCAATTCTGACTTTATATCCTACCCGATCTCACGACCAATTCGTACGAATTCGTACGAGTGATTAAAAAGTGGCTAATTCGTACTAATTCGTACGACCTCACTCGTACGAATTCATACGATTTGTCTAAACCCACGTGATGGTTAGGTTTAGGGGCGGGTCAGGGGTAGGTCATCCGTACAAATTCATACGAATTGGCCAATTCGTAAAATATGTACGATTTAGCAAAATCGTACTAATTTGTATGAGTGAGGTCGTATGAATTGTTGCGAATTAGCCACCTCGTAAAATTCGTACGAATTCCCGTGAGATCAGGTTGTT